CTGGGAGAAGCAGGTTGTTTTTTCAGGCATAAGCGTTGTCTTGACTCTTGTTTCATACCTCAAGTTCAGAAGGAAACGCCGGCCCACCCAACACCCGTATTCAGATTTGTTTATTTGGTGGGCTCTGCTTCCCACAAAGTGGCCAAGCCTGCATTCCCCGCGGTATTTCAATTCCACCGTTCCCGCACAGCCGTGAGCCCACCAAAGCCGCCTGGTCAGAGCGGGACAGGCTCTTGCCAGGGTAGTGCTTCTCATCGGGGGCTGCGGCGCAGTCTGGCTTTGCTGACACACACACCTACGAGGGGTCCTCGTGCCGGCGCAGGCGAACGGCGAGGCCGTGCCCTGCCACCCGCGCTTTGTCGGCGGGCGGTGGTTTTGCCGCAGAGCTTGTGGCGGAGCTGTGCCCACCCAGAGCGCTGGTGTGGTCCTCCGGCACAGAGACGCCACGAGCACCGAGCAAATGCCAGAGTCCGGAGAGGTGAACCTGGCCAGACAAGTGCACCAGATCGTGCTGTGTTCCCCCTGCGTAAAACCAGCTATTCGTGGTTGTCGGATGTCTTTCAAAGTGAAGGGAAGGAGGTTGAGGCCAATTAATTGCCACGTACATGTCGTGCAGAAAACAGCACTAACGCTTCTGCTGCTTGCATCCCCGTCGGCTCTTCAGCAAACGCCCTCATGGTGCGCCTGGGTTCTTTGCAAACTCTCGGCAAGAGCAAACAGTTAATTTTCCTGGTACTTTCCAATCATGCTATGGGATTTTCATTAAGGGAAGGGGTAGAGAAAAAAACCCCAAGCTATCGAAGGAGAGGGTCTCTCTTTGCAGTTATTTGTAATGGGTTTTCCTCCCCTGCTAGATATGGCTCTGGTCGTGCTCTTCCTCCTGAAATCCCTTCACGTAGGTGGCAACAGAATCCGTAGATAACCTTCCTGAGTGCCAGCCAACAGGACGGTGTTCTGTTTTAGAGGGCTGCGAGCATTTTAAATGTTGATATGATCTACTAATATTTGCAAATGAACCAGTAAAAAAATCCTGCTGGTGCATTCCTCTCTTCTTGAACATTTTCTGGCTAGTAGCAGAAGAATACAGTGAATAACCGGGTTGGAAATGCCCTGACCTCTGTCATCAACAGGAGGATGTTTACGAGCCCGCTGAATAGCTCCTTTGGAGAGCTTTATGTTTTGCACAGGCTCATGTCAGTAAAGTTTTCATTAGTTAATGAGAGTGGAGGTATCCTGCTGGGTACTTTCTTTCTGGGAGATAGATTGGGAAGAAAAGAAACTTAATAGGGACTTGCATACACTGATTTGCTGGTGGAAGCATAGTGCAAATGAAAAATGGTTTAGAAGGGGATACTGCCTATGCGTCATCTGCCAGATGCGTGCGACTCGTGCTTGATGCCTCTCCAGCCGCGCGTGCTTTAAGAAAGGAGCAGGAGCTCCCGCGCAGCACCCCCGGCCGGTGCGGCCGGGGCAGGGGAGCGCCCGGCTGCCGCTGTCGACAGGCAGAGCCGCCTGTGGGCTCCAGCCCGGCACTGGGCTTGTCGTCGGCCTCTCTGCAGCATCAAAGCAAACTTCTGCAACTTTTTATTCAGAAGTTGACCTTTTGTGATACCATCAGAGGGATGGCTGGAGGATGCGGGAACCAGGATCACTGGCACCTGGGTGTCTCTTTGCCAGGGAGAGTTAACACTGTTTCCTTGTTTATTTTCATGGGCTGCTGCAGGAACTGGGGAAAGAAGAGGCTTAATACCAAAGTCCAGATCCTGCCATACATCTTTGTACTTTGTGTTTTCTTCTGCGTTTTCTTGTCTAGTTTCGCTTTAATAAAGCAAAGAGAATTTCACCATCTTCACAATCACGTAGAAGCTGTCCCTGAGGCTTCCCTCGGGACGGCCGAGCCCCGGGAGAGGGGACCCCCTTGGCATCGCTGCCTCGCCCGGCCGGGGAGCAAACCACGTCCAAGTCCCCCTTTGGTTTCACTGGCTCTGCTCTGGTTTATCTAGGATGTGTGGGCTTTTGTGCTGGCTTCATCTGCGTCACGGCTCAGACCATCAGCTCCTGCCGAAGGCAGCAGATGGAAGACAAGGAACACACCCGTTGGCGTCGGCCCAGGAGCAGCATTTTTGCACGGAAGGGTACAATTTCATGAGATAAAGGCTGCAAGATGAGGTTGCCTTTAGTTAGCGCAGGAAGAGCTCTTCCTCAATCCTACGTAATGCCAGCAGCGGGCCAGTTGCGTGCCCGGGCAGGCAGCGTTCCTGGGCCAGCGGCCGCAGACCTTCGCCCACCTTCACGCACCTTCGCCCAGCAGGCTCCTGCCAGCGCCAGCCGCGGTCAGCAGGCAGCTTTGCTTAGCAGGAGTGAGAGCTAGGGTAGGGGCTCTCGGAGTGAATGTTTCTGGAGAGCCTGGCAGCATCTGAACACCCTTCCCACAGAAGTCAAAGGCCCTTTGTGCTTGGCTTCAGGAAAAATGGAGTTAAGCCAGAGCAATGAGCGTCACGCACCGTGCACGGCAAGGTAAATACCGAGTGGGGCAGCCCTGTGGAGGGAGGGCAGGACGCTCACCGCCTTTACCACCACGCGCTGGTTTCACGCTTGGCGCTCTGGCCCGTGCGGCGCCAGCGGGGTCGTGGCCGTGGTCGGCAGGGATGCTGAGGTGGTACCCAGTGTCGCCTGCCGCCCGGGCCGCAGGGAAGCGGTGGCCTCCCTTGCAGGGCCACTTGCCAACACAGGCTGGCTCTGCAGCTCCCTGCTACGTGCGGCTCTCGCTCCACTTACTGATCTCTCCCCCTAGATGTTTCAATAACATATCTTAAACATATATTTTTTATATATATATATATATATATAAAAAGGCATGCCCCATTTTATATTGCTAAAGATACCTATTTAATGTAATGCTTTAAGAGAGTTTCTTTCCCGATTGCAACTAAATATTCTTCAGGAGATGAGTCAGTATGTGCCAACGTTAATGGAAACTTTCAATTTAATAATTTTTTCTGGTTAGGTACTGCCCAGTTTTCAAAGGTCCAGCCTTTATTGGCATGAACGGAGCATACACTGGCATAGTCTGGTGTCGATACCTGCTTCTCCAGCTTTCTTGAAGCTGATGCTGGTTAGACAGGGATAGTATTTGCACTTGGGGGACAACAGAGTGTCCTTTATTTCTGCCCTCTTTGACTGCACAGAGTGTCCTTGCACTTTAGGGCAGAATACTGGAATTATAGAGCGGTAGCTGTTTTCTGGCTGTTTCAAAGTAGACTTTTAGAGGCACAGAAGTCCTTTCTTGTACGATAACGACTGGCTGAGCCGAGCTCTGCGCTGTCACGTCCCAGTGCCTTCTGTCGGATGGCAGAGTACCTGGAAGGCGTCAGCCGCGCGAGATGCCCGCGTGGCAGGGGGACAGGCAGCGGTCACCAGCGCCGCAGGGCTGGGACCCCCCGCGCTGCCCGGGGCAGCGGGGACGGCGACGCGCTGCAGGCCCTGGGCACGGCTGGGGAGCGCCCCCCCCCCCCGGGGGGGGCGGGGGCGCGGGGCGG